AACTGCTTCATTCGCCCATTGTCTCTCTTTTTTTCAATTTTTAATTTTAAAGATGTGGGGTACAACTCAGGGTTAGGTATACAAATGTACATTACGCGGCTACCCTTGATGAGGCGTGTCCCCCTGCCCCCTGGCAGCTTCCACTACTGCCAATCCCGCCCTCCCTCATTCGCCCACGCTTTCGACGCATTGTTGTGAATGCGCCCTGGGTCAGCCTTAAAAGAGCTTCCTCAGTGGTGGTCCTCTTTTCCCAGGAAGTTCAAACGTCCCTCTTTCTCCGTCATCCTCCCAACCCTGCAAAGTTCCCACGCTCTTCCCAGCCCGCCAGCTCTCACGTGGGCACACTCCTCCCTGCGAGCAGAGTGCCCCCAAAACCCCGCGGAGGGGAAGGAGCGCTGCCAGGACCAGGGGTCTGCCGGGCCTGATTCAGATCCTTTGGGCGATTCTCTCCCGATAGACCAGAGTGGGACTTAAGAGATAGGTGGACGCGCTCCCGTGCACTATTTGTCGCGTGATATTGTGCCTGTGAGTTTATGAAGGGCAGGAGCGGACTTCGGTGGCTCTAGTGCCAAGACAAAGCCGCACGCTGGAGAATGAATAGACGAATGAATGAACACTCGATCTGCTCCATGCCCACTCCCTGCTCAGGACTCGAACCTTTACGACCTCGACGCCCGCAGCACCGCTCTTTCTGGAGGTGCCGACAGTAGGGTACTTCGACCCGGGGCGGACACCAGGCTCAATTTCCCGCTCGGGCCTCGAACTAGACCAAGGACCGATGCATGCCGGGATGTGCGTCCCGCAGAAAGGGGAAATCTTAGGTGGCACCGAAATGCATTTCGGGATATGTAGTCATGCAGACGCCGGGAATACGCGGCGTAGCTCCGCCTTCCGCATTCGAGGACGCAGGGACGTGTGAGGTCACTTCCTGCGTGCTGGGTGGCTTCCGGCGGTGTTTCCTGCCTCGCTCTCTTTCTCCAGCCGACCGCCGCCATCATGGGTCGCATGCACGCTCCCGGGTGAGCTCGGGGCGCCGAGTCGGATCGCTGGGCGGGGGTGGGAGAACGAGAGGGCGTGTGGGCAGCGCTTCGGGGGGATGATGTTCTGGGCTGCTGAGGCGCGGGCCGCCGCCTCACCCCGAGACTGCTTTCTTTCCCCAGGAAGGGCCTGTCCCAATCGGCGCTACCCTACCGCCGCAGCGTCCCCACTGTAAGTAGCGCGCGGGGACCGGGGAGAAGCCGGGGCGGGGGATGTCGCTGGTCCCTCCCGGGAAGCGGCGCCGGGATGGGGAGCCTGTGCGTATGAGGGGCGCGGCCTCGAGGTTGGAGGGGGCCGCGGTGCTTCGGCGCCATTCCCGGCTTCTCCTAAGGCTGCTTTCCGTCCCCTACACAGTGGCTGAAGTTGACGTCTGACGACGTGAAGGAGCAGATTTACAAACTGGCCAAGAAAGGCCTGACTCCCTCACAGATCGGTGAGTGTGTGTGTCTAATGTCGCCCTTCCCCCTGCCCTCGTGGGACTTGTAGGATCTAGCAGACGATAAAGTTGTTAAAGGAGTCGCCATAGGTGCATCACTCTGAGCACTTGACACGTACTGATCTGGCTTAATTCTGGTAGCAATAGTTCATATGAATATTCATATTCATTTCCCATCTTACAGTTGAGGAAACTGAGGCACAGCGCAGCTGAATACTAACTAGCTTCAAAGCACACGGCTATTTACTGGAGGGTCTGGAACTGGCTAAACAGACTGCTTGACACATAGTTGGATGGGATTTGAATCTCAGCTGTGTGTGACTTTGTGCAGAAAATGTTTGCATGCTATGCGCTGAAAATGGTTCTGGGACCTGAGAATACTCTGGTCCAAAAAACAGCCCTGCGCAGAGTCTGAGATGTCCCAGTCAGAGGATCGCTTGAGCCCAGGAATCCTAGACTGTAGTGCGCTATAATCACTCCTGTCAGTAGCCATTGCTCTCTAGCCAGGGCAACATAGCCAGACATCCTTTTAAAATCGGAGTGTGAAACTCTGCCCTCCTTATAGTTTAACAAAGGTATGACACATAGGAGTCGTATAAGGAAGTGTAGCCAGAACTAATTAGAAGATTAAAAGAAATAACGTAAAAAATCTTAGGGGAATGGTTGATTAAGTTAATTCTAAATAAACCGTGAACTGGTTTTAACTGTAGAACAGAGACATACAGGAATCTCACCAATTCCTTTGGACACATGCATTCTAGCAAGCTCACTGTGATGATGGTGTTCCCACATTCGCAGTTTCCACCAGAAAGGGTTTTCCTTAGTGTTGGTAAACCTTCCTTGGATGTCTGAGTGAGCTTGCATACATTCTCATGTTGGTTTCTGTCATGTATAAAAGTAGACTCCATCAGGCAGATAGGAAACCCCGGCAGTGTCTTGATAGCTGATCCTTGACATCACATTCTAGTTTGTTTTGGTTTGTTTTGGTGCTGGGAGTTTAAACATGATTTCCTTTTCAGGTGTGATCCTGAGGGACTCCCATGGTGTGGCACAAGTACGCTTTGTGACAGGCAATAAAATCTTGAGAATCCTTAAGTCGAAAGGGCTTGCTCCTGATCTTCCTGAGGATCTCTACCATTTAATTAAGAAAGCAGTTGCTGTCCGAAAGCACCTCGAGAGGAACAGAAAGGTCAGAGAGTACATGTAACCTGGTACAAGATAGGACTGCCTATACTCACTTGTTTTAATAAAATATAATGTATTTGACTTGAATTATCTAAGGTGACGTGGAACACAAACTAGCCAACAAGAGAGTTGCTTTGAGATGAAAATTCTTCCAGAGATTGTTTGACTTTGGCTCTCCCTAAGTAACTATAGCAAGCTGTGTGAAAATGTTGGGAGTTTTTTTATTTTATTTTTTTATTTTTTAAAGACATCCCTGTTAAGTCTTATGTGGAAACCTACATTCCCTTAAGCGCTTCATACAGTCACACACACCCTAGTATATGGTTCTATTATTGGGCATTGGGTAACTTTTCATTAGAAAAAGTGCATGGTAGCTCTATATTCTCTTGTTAAATTGACGTTTGATGGTATTTAGCCATTTGGGGTAGTTTTGAATTGTATCCAATTTTATTTTTAGGATAAGGATGCTAAATTCCGCCTGATTCTGATAGAGAGTCGAATTCACCGATTGGCTCGATATTACAAGACCAAGCGAGTCCTTCCTCCCAACTGGAAATAGTAAGTGTCAACCTTTTTGTAAAGAAGGAGTCAGCCAATATAGTAAATATTCTTAAAAGACCTAATAGTAAATACTTCAGGCCTTGCAGGTCCTGTGGTTAACTATTTCAGTGCTCCCACTGTAGTGGGAAAATAGTCACAGACAGTCCAAGCAGGTGACTGTGCTCTGTTGAAACTTGATTCACGGACATACTGCAGGCCTTAGTTTGCAGGTCCTGGTGTTGGGCCATGAACAATCATACCTCTGCTTTCAGTTGTTTGTATCATCTGTTTTACAATTTGCACAAGTTGCTCACCATGATGATTGATTTCCAAACATTCGCAGTTTCCACCAGAAAGGTTTTCCCTTATGTGGGCCAGTTCTTCCTTGGATGTCTGAGTGAGCATCTTCATTGATTATGTTTGAACACAATGAGCTGATTCAGGAAAACAGTCGTTTGATGCATTTTAGGTAGATGGGTTTTATTTTAGCTGTCTGGAAATAGCTCCATTATTAGCAGGGATATTGTGTGGAGGGCCAGTATTAATCCTGATTTTGTTTTTCCTTTTTCAGTGAGTCGTCCACAGCCTCTGCCCTGGTTGCATAAATTTGTCTATGTACTCAAGCAATAAAATGATTGTTTAACTAAAAGCATGTTTTGTATTTCTTATACTAATTATCGGTGATTCGTATCTGCTGATGTTTTTTGTTGTGGATGTGTTTTAGGTGAGGAATTGTGATTCTACAGGGAGTGGCAAGGTAGCATCCATCCCATCCCTTTGCTGACCCCTTAAGCTAGTCGAGCAGCTTGTCACCTAATACGAGGTGGCTTTATACATACAGGAAGAACTGGAAAAGACTAGAAAGTAATGGCTTTATGTTTTGTGTCATGGCAAAATGTTCTAAGTATTTTCAGCACATTTGATGTTAAAGACTAAGGTCTGGGACGGGTGCTAACCACAGAGTAGCATCAGCAGTAACACAGAACAGTGTTACTGGAGAGAGGAGAGGTTTGGGTATGGACAGATACTGGGACTTGCTGGTGAGGGTTTAATATGAGGAGAGAAACAAGTGAGCACAGAGGATTCGGGAATAGTGAGTATTCCTGCTTGAGCCCCACAGGTCTCAGGTTGCAAGTCTAGGAAGCAGGGACCGCAGTTCTTTAAGTGCAAGATACTTGTAGAACTGTGGCGGTGCTGCAGGCCATTTGTATGTACACCCTTCTTTTTAAGTGTCTGTCACTTGGATGATATATTTAATAAGCTTTTCATTCAACTTTACTCTTATCGGTACCGAATTTTTTATTTTTTTTGAGTTGGAGTCTCACTCTGTCACCCAGACTGGCACCGCAGCCTTGACCTGCTGGGCTCCGGCAATCCTTCCGCCTCAGCCTTTCGAGTAGCTGGAATTACAGGCGCGTGCTACCATGCCCGGCTGATTTTTTGATTTATTGTA